TTAGTCACAAAGAGGGGGCTGATTGGAGGCAGATTGGCACGGTTGCCTATAGTTTGCATGGAAGATGCTGACTTCTTTGTATTTTAATTTGCTGACTAACTACCATGATGTCGAACAAGTGCAATGGAAATTGGGACTCCACAATTGACTTGACTACTTCCAGCAACAACTCACTGGCTGGGGAATTTTAATTTTTCTTTTGCAAGCAGTGGTTGCCAGGCAGTTGTCAACTTTTTTTCTAGACCTGTGTGTATAGGGACTTACTGAATGTATGCAGAAGCTTCCTGTTCGGGAAATTTCCAGTTAATAAATTATAATGGGAGGTGAGTAGGGACTGTCAATGGCCATTGATGTCATAGTCTATCATCCACCCTCCTAAACGGTTTGCTTTTTTTTTTTAAATAAAAAAAAGAACAACATGTTTTTGTTAAATGTAGCAGTTCTTTACAAGAAACACTGTAATTAAATACACTTTTGTTTCGAAGGGAAATTAACAGTAAGTAACCCTTACAAAGTCTCGCTCCGTGTTTAGTACATGCGTTATGCCTTCATCTTTGCAGAAACAGTGCGGTAAACAAACACCAGCCACAAATTTCTCAGCAACCCTTTAATATGGCTGCAGAGGACGCCGTCCTTATGAGTTTGTTTTGAATCCTAAAAACAGTTCTGTCAGTTCAGTGAGACAAAGTTCATTTAGTCTTTGTCAACATTGAGCAACCTGCACGTCAATAAGCTGATATGTTAGTTTTGGCATGTTGCGTTTTAATTTTGACGCTGAGAGTTTGGCAGTAGCCAAAGGAACCTTACGTTATCGTATTTGTTATTTTTTTTAAATTTCAAAAACTATTTTGTTTATTTTTTCAAACTTTCTTTGGGACTGTTTTTTGGAGTTCCCAACTTTGGCATACAAACGAGATTTGACCTTTCAAAATGGCGGTGATATTGCTTTCTTTCTATGCATTCTTTTCAACACAACTGACATTTTCTCTTTATTTCTGTACAGTTATATACCAGGAATCATAAGTTGCTGATGCATGCAGTGCTTGCCATTATATTGTGCATCACTACATCTGACATGAATTTAAGCCGCAGTCTTTCTGAAGTAATCTGTCCAAATAGTAACAATATGTGGGAAACACTTCTATTATGCTGCTTAACTCTCTGTGAAGTGGAATGGTTGTAAGGCCACAAAAACTATATAGTGCAGTTAATGAATAGAGAATCAATGAGGGAGTCTTGATGAGTCAACTCCTATTTTATTTACTTAAGTTAACACAGATGTGTCAGAGCAATTTGGTAGAATTTTTTACCTTGCAAACATGTTGATCCAAAAATGCACATCTGAACTTCAGTTTGTCTTCATTTAAAAAGACTAACCGTGGTCTCCTCAGGCTGTTTGGGGCTTAGGAAATTCTTCACATCTAATGTCTGCTGCTCCATGGCTTTCCATTATCATGTGACTTGCACCCTTAGTTTATGAGGGGAATTTTACCCGAGTAGAGTAGTCACCAACTCAAGTACCTTGTTATTCGGCTTACACGACTCCAGGCGATTTTAGGATACTTGCCTGTGGTTGAATGTCATCTGTCATATTTACATGCTACAGATAAAGCTGCAATAACTATTTTTTTTATAGAAATGATGGATCAGAATACTGTTTTTATTTCGTAAAGCATAGATGACGTTTTTTAAAATTTTGATTTATTCTCAGTGCACTGCACTCAGTCCGTTTCCAGATACATAACTGTTTTCAGCAAAAACTCAACTGTCACAAACTGGCAAGACACAAATAGCATGCAAACAAAGTTAGTAATTAGCTTCCGAACATAGTATTGAGTTTTTCGTGGTTCAGGACTTAAAAACAACTGATTACTACACTTTATAATTACCAGGTGGCCTGAAAGAATTATGATAATGTAATACCTTTACTTCTGGATGTGTAGGAAAGCTGTAGGCAACTAATAATGCATGTGCTTTATCAACTTTATGAGGTGATAATATGTGAATGTTATGTTTACAGGTTGTCCTGCGGCCCAAAGAATCTATTATTACTGCTTTAATTCAAGTTGTCTACTAATAAGAAATCCCTGATATTCTCTCGTATAATGCTGATTTTATTTACCCTATTAAAATGAATCTCCTGTAACTATAGTTATGGGGATTTATCTGGATTTTTAACATCATTTAATATATTAACTTGGACCACATTATGAATCAGACGTTGTCATGGATCCAGGGTTTCGTTCCCGAGGTTTGGTATTTATAGATCCTTACTTGTTGGCTTCTTTATGTTATACTCTCTGGTTTTTGTTCAATAAGAAGAGCTCACTAGGAAGAATTGAATATAATTTATCGAGATAGAGAAATTCATTTATTTGGCAGTTAGATTCCAATGACCCATCATGGCAGAACAAAATCCCAGCAGTGATAGGATTTAGGACAGGACCCCCCGGAGTCTAGACGCTAGTGGTGGCGAAGATGAAGACTGAGGCTTAAATAGAGCTCTGGCTGAGATGTCTGAGGTGGAGATGAGGAGGAGGAGGTGAGTTGCACAAAAGAGTCTGAAAGGGAGAATGACAGAGAGCACAGATTTAAACATGTGAAGTGGAGGCTGATCTCTATTGTGTTCCTTTCTCATATTTTTGTATATATTCTCCTGTTTGTTATTTATTCCTGCTGTCTACTATTTATATTTTATTCCAGCACAGTTGGTGTGGAGCACCCACAATTTTGTTGTACCCGTAAAATTACAATAAAGGGCTATTCTATTCTATTCTTTCACTCTATTCTTCTAATCTATTCAAATAAAGCAGGCAAGAAAATGATTGGAGTAATGATTACATATTGAGATTGACAGTGTGGGTAAGATGTAGTCATGTAAAGAAAAGAAAAGCGTATGAACACCCAGGAAAGCAGGCAGATGAGTGATTACAGATCAGAAATGAAGCATAAGCTTCATTTGAGCTGTCTGTGTTCGGTTCATGGTTATAGTTTATCTTTTATTCCTTGAGCTTCAGTTTATCCTGCCCCCCTCATGTTTTTGTTAAGTGTCTGTCTGTGTTAGGTGCACTTAGTGATCATATTTTTTTTTGGTATTCGTTTGTCTCTTGTGCCTCATTTACTTTTACTTCCCTTGTTTAATCTCTGATTACTTTCAGCTGTGTTACTATTTTGTTTCCACTTCTCCCTGATTTAAACCCTCAGTTTGTTGTTTGTTTCCAACTCATTCCTTGAGAGTCCTAATGCTGTAGTTGTCCTCTTGGTATTTTCAGTTTTCTTTGTTATCAATAGACTTTCTGGCCTAAATAAATGGCTCACTTTTTGTTTGTACTCCACCTCTCTCCATCTTTGCAATTGAGTCCCCACTAGGGATGGGTATCGTTTAAGTTTTATCCGATACCGGTGCCAAACTGGTACTTTTGAAACGGTGCCGGTGCTCGAACCGGTGCTTAAAGAATGGAGAACACAAAATTGGTCCAAAAACCTCATGTTTAGCTGTTTTTTTTTGTAAAAAGATAACAATGTTAGCCTTTTCTGCAGCTATAGGGCATATATGGTATCACTCTTGGCTGGAAGCAGTGCTTAAACAATGGAAAAAAACACAGACTTTGTCAAAAACCTCTCATGTTTAGCTGTTTTCCACTTTTTCTTTCGTCATTTTAGCCTTTTTGGCCAGGATGAAAGGAGTATCAAACAAGAAGACAGCTTCATGTAACTACTACGTGTTTGCTAGTTCACCTTACATGCATTAATTTAATAACGTGGTTAGAGTACTCAACGTAAATTACACACGAACAACATTAAGCTACTCACGCAGAGAAGAACGGCTGCTGCTGCCATCATCATCCTCATCATTTCTGCGACACTGGCAGGGCTAGGGGCCAGGACTCTCCTCTTCGGGTTCTTGGGGGATGTTGCAAACTCCAGGTCTGATAACAGGCAACCAACCCGCAGTAGATGTGCTCGGTGTGAGGTCTTGCAGCAAGCTATCAAATACAGTGCATTTCTCGGCTTTTAAAAAAACGCTACGTGTCGCCAGGTGTTTCATCAGATTTGAGGTGTTACCTCCTTTGCACAGTATCACCTTAAAGCACTTGTTGCAGGCTGCTGAGTTTGCATCTTTTGCTGTGAAGTGCAGCCAAACTTTTGACCGCTTCGCCTTGGGCATTTTTAATCTGTAGCTCTGTTCTAAAAGAACGTACGTACCTGGGCCCGCCTACTATCCTTGGAAAGGTAAAATGGCTAGAATCTAAAGTGTATGACATCTCAGGAAAGAAAAGCACCGAAATGTGCACTGCTTTTCGGTCTGGTTACTATTGTTTATGTCAGAACCGGTACTGGTACCCATCCCTAGTCCCCACTACATCACACTGTGAGTAGATGATGAACTCAAATGCTCAGTAACTTTCTGGGGCTTTTATTCTGGATTATTGGGCTTTGTGGATGGTCATCTGATTTGTTCACAGAGAAGAAGTCAGTTAGGATCCAGATTAACTGGGCAGTTTCCACTAATCCAGATTATGTTAATTATACTCACGAAATTTTTTAAAGACTTTTTTGCGTCCATGACCTCGCAGAAGGTGGCCAACCCTTTGCTGCAGTGATGGCAGAAAGCCATCATTGCAGCACCCCAGCTACTCTCAGTTATTGCTGCAAAAGACTGCCTTCCCAGTTCCTACCCCACCACCTGAATCACTGTTGATGAGGGTTGGTTAGTTTAGCTTCATGCCAGCCAGCTCCTTTCCCTCTATTGCAGCAAGCCAACTCCACATTGCTCCTCCAACTAACCAGCTTCGGCTGTTTCGTGTGGAATTGGAATCAGTAGCCAGTGACCTCTGTCAGCTCACTTTATCTGGCATCTGCCTTGCTGGACTTCGCTCTGGGGCTCACGGACTCTGTGCTTCCCACCATTTCAGCTCCGATTCTGCTACTTCTTTGGCAGTCACATTAAGTGGATGAGAAGCCTCCAGCCTTTGTTCCCACTTTTCTCTCTTTTGCAGGTGGAAGTGAGGCTCTCGCGTTCCATCAGCTCTTTCAACACCAGCCTCCAGCCAAGCCACCAGAGGGTGTCCTTCAAGGCCAGCCCCCTGAACTGGTTTTGTGATATTTTTTTTTAAGCTTTCGTGCTCCCTGCTTTTTTTTTTTCTCGCGTCAGTTGAGCTACTTACCCTCATGTTTTTTCACTTTTGTTTGTTACCAATGGGCTTTCAAGCCTGAATAAATGGCTCACTTTTTGTTTGTATTCTGCTTCTCAGTCTTTGCATTTACATATTCAATACATCACACTCCAACATGACAAAGGTGGTATGTTTATCGTCAATATATAGATTAAAGATGTTCCTGCTCATTTACTCTCCATCGTACTATAAACAGGAATTATATAAAAAGGTTGTGGTGTCGCCAAAACACAAGCAGTTGCTAGCTTATTTATCTCAAGAGTTCAACAATTGCTGTAGTAAAAGCTACATCAAAGGTCTCCATCTGCATCCATGCATTTGAATGAAGCCTTTGTTGTGATGACTAACACATTTTTCTAATTTCACTTTCTTGAGAAAATTACCAAATTGTGGATTATAAAACAGTTTCCAGCAGCTTCATTGAACTTTTAGGAGCATTTACACACTCCTTTGATCTAATGATGTCACTGAAATTATTGCTCAAGTCAAAGTGTTGGGAATGTTTGTGCAGCGGTTGTTTCTTGTCAGGTTCCTGCTGAGTTCAGGGAATCCTCATGTTTATTTTGGTTTTCATTAGCTTTTTTTCCCCTCCTTTCACTCTTTCCCCACATTTGCACCTGTTATTTGTCTCATTCACTTTTTTTTCATCATTTGTTTCCTTTTTCCGGCTTCCTTTTATCTGTTAGTAGGAATCTCCCTTACAGTTAAGTATTCATGCTTATTTCCTTTTCATTGCATTCCCATTTTATCATCCCATCTCTTGCTTTTACTTGTATATTTCTGTTGTCATTACGTTGCTATTTTCTCCTGCCTAATTCCCTTGCGGTCATGGCTTTGGCTATATTTATGAGGTTTCCCACTCTCCCTGCTGAGCCTTATTATCAGGTTAAGCATTAACCTTCAGGCTTTACCTTGCTCGTCCTTAACTTTGTGACATCGTTGACGTGGCCACAGGCTACATTACTCTGTTCTGATTCCAGTATGTTAACCTCTTGTTAATAAGAGAGGAAGAGAAATAAAGGGAAGTTACTGATGTGATAGGAGTACTGGGAGGAAATAGTCAGGATGCAAAGAAAGAGGCTTGCCATGGGAGTAGGGCTGGGCCATATTATACCGTTCATGAAATATCGCGATAGAATATGAGTAAAACGCGCATGCGCAGTGCCTTTGTTTTCATACGCACATGGCCGATTGTTGAGTGAAACAGATGAACCAGAATTGGTTTGTAAAAATGGTGCAACTTCAGTGATGTGGAACTGGTTTGGTGTTTGTCCGTCAGATACACGACAAAGCACATTTTTTTGCAGAACATGCAAGCGGCCGTCGTTATTGTCGTATTTGTCGGACTAAGATGCTCTTAAATCTGGGAGTAATCTGGGTCCTAAACTCCGTATGCTTCAGGTCAAACGAACACTGCAGCATCACTGAGAGTTAAAAACTGTCTAAATTCTTTCATCTTTAATAAAACGATCAGCATTGCTGCTTTACCAGGTGTAACTATGAAGTTTAACTTCCAGGCATCCATGAAAACAAAATTTATTACATTTAACGGAGTTAGAAGTTAGCAGGAAGCTAGCGGAAGTTAGCTCGCTAGTTTCGCTAGTTACCTAAGCATGATATAGCATGTTCTGACTGAGAGATTTCTGAAAAAATTCAAACGTACAGCTCTGCTATCACTTCCAACATAAATGAAGACAGGAAACTAAACAGCAGTGACGTTTGTAGGGTTACTGAAGTTGGGCTAGCTGGTATATAATGATGTGTACGTGATCGCTAGCGACACAGCTATGTTAGCATACTAAACAGTGAATGAGTATGTACAGCACTTTGTCTACCAGGTGTGTTTTTAAAGTGCTATATAAATAAATAAATGATGATGATATATGATGTGCTACGTGATCGCTAGCGACACAGCTATGTTAGCATAACATAAACAGTGAAGCTGGAGGACGAACACTAACACTTTTCCACTTATAAAAGTTAACGTTAAGGTTCCTGATAGTTAGAGACAAATGCAATCGCATGGCAGGATGCTGTAAACGGACCAAACTTCAGTCAGGAGAACAACTGAGATAATCCATCCACAATACGAGGTTAGTCATTAATATACTGCAACAACATGGGAATAGAGCAGTGAGAGAATTCAACATTAATGAATCAATGGTACAGAAGTGGAGGAAGCAAGAAGAATGAGTTTAATAAAGTTTGATTTATCTGACTGCTTTGTTTCGCTTAATGTGCCTTATAATCCCGTGCACCTTATGGTCCGAAACAACTACTGCACACTGCAGTTTAATGTTGCAAAGCACCTCTTTTTAACTTCAGTGGATATTATACATGGTTATGCTCAGGATATGTCAGCCCATTTCTACTGGAAATGCCTTTTGGTTAAACTTTCAGCAAGGAATTTGCATTTGCACTGTTAAATTTTTATAAAGCTTTAATGTACATAAAAACCAGCTTCTTGTTTAAGTGAAAATAAATGGAAGGTTGTCTTTTTGCGCTAGTAATGTTGTGGAGTTGTATTTTGTCTCGCATCAATTATATCGTCAGTTATATCGTTATCGCAAATTTTCAAATATATATCGTGATAAATATTTTTGGCCATATCGCCCTGCTCTATAAGGGAGTATCAATAAATGTTATTGAAGTAGCTGCAAGGTTCTTGTAGAGGAAGGAAAGCATATGAAGAGTTGAATTAATATTTTTGTCCCTGGGGTGTTTTTTTGGGGGGGTTTTTTGACGCTAAGCTCTTGTGTTTATCTGTTTGAAGGGAAAAGAACAAGCCTCTCTTATTGACAGTGCCCTTAGGTTACGTTAAGTGTCATATTGTTTGCTTTCTATCAAAATGTTTTTGTCTTTCTGATTTAAGTCAAGCAACACTGACTTAAACAAATCCCAACATCCTTGGCATTTGCATCAAAGTTACACTTTTATCTGTCTTTCTCCCCACAGATATGAGATGCTAAATAGAAAGTATTTCTTTCTGAATTTATTGTTGTTTTGTTCTTCATAAAACAGCCATGAACCCATGCTACATGAGTAATGTCTGACTCACACAGAACAAGTTTATGAGGCATGTTTGGCTATTATTCTTCCTTTATATTGCGGGGAAATCGGCACCCATGAAACAAACAATTAGCCTTAATGAGTCCAGGCAAAACTTATCCAAAATTCAAAAACAAAAAAACAAAAACAGAGATACATAGGCAAATAGGACTTTAATAATTATTTTATTTATTATACTGGCAGTTCAAAAGGTCCATTGATTGAGGTTTCGTTTTTTTGTTCTCTAGGCAGATTGCGCTATGTGGTATTTTTCAGGGGGTTAGTTAAGTTCAGTAAATTGATAGAATAATAATGGTATGGAAGCCTGTCTTTTTTGTACACCCTTATATGTATAAATTTAACTGAATACACTTTCAACATTCAGCTTTAAAAAATGCACTGTATAGTGTAACTTTGTATACAGAAACTATATTAATTAGACCAACACAGACAAAGTCCTCCAGTCAAAGCTCTTCATTGGCTGCCTTATCACTGGAGCATCCTTTAACAATCTAACTAATAATAAAAAAGCAGCTAATTTCTGCTGTTCCCTGACTTGCTTGGAACCACTATAGTGGGCAGTTCTACATGTTTCATTTGGCATGATTTTACAGCAGGTGCCCTTCCTGATTTTCTGTGTCTCCTCCTGGGTTTGAACTGGGGATCTTTGACTTGTTATGCAAATAGGAAAACTACTATTGCTCCTACTACTAGTGCTACTAAAATAATACAAATAATAATCAACTTTTGATACATATAAAATAAGTGAAAAGAACAAGTAATGCAAGTTATACAAAGGCCACTCTGTATTGGTGGGTCTTTGAAAGCTTTTTGAAATGAGGAACTGATCGTGCTGGTGTTAAATAAGTAATGTTTGTTCCACAGAATTGGGGATAAAACAGATAAAGCACGATCCTTTATTTTAAGCCTGTAACCTTTTAACTGTAATTGATTATGTAGTCTGAGTCATCTGGGCGGTGTAAGATGTTCACACTTCCGAGATATAGAGTCACTACATAGTGATTTGAAAGTAATCAGTAAAGTCCTTTCCAGATGAAACTGATATAAACTAGGACTGGGTCCTGTCGGACCTAACATGCTTTGAGGGGAGTTTCTGCAGGTCTAATGTTTAGAAGCCCTCCTAAATCACTGCGTTTTATCTTTCTGGTAACAGTAATAAAAATGTAAGTGCTAAGTCATTTTCCACTAACTGTTGACACTGATAACATGAATAGACATTGCAAAGCAATGAAATGCCTCATTAGAAGTTACCATTCACTTTAGGCAAACACTGGAAAGCAGTACAGATGTCTATAAAATCCACAGCAATTTCAGATGAGCGGCAGTAGATTTGGCTTTATGTAATGGAACCCATATCTAGAAGTGATTGGGAATAAGAAGTTGAGCAAATGTGTGCCAAATCTGATAATGACATTGTGAAAGAAGGCACAAGCTACTTTCCATTGTTCTGTGGTCTTTTGTTACGGATGTAATGCATTACGCGGATGTGTCATAATGCTTAAGTCAAAATGTAATGTGAAGCATTTCCTTTGCACTTTGCTGTGTTTATCCTTAGAAGATGCTGTGGTAGAAAACAGGTTTTGTTCTTATTTAATCATACTCCATGTGCTTTTAAAACACGAAAATAGTACACATCCAATGCAGAATTTACTGTCTAATTTTTAAATGCTTGTCATTTTTTTGTTATTTCCCACACATCATTTTTTACTGTGCAAACATATCTATGTAGCAAACACTGGTGTATGTCCAGTCCTTGCTACCATTTTTGCCCCGCCATCAGATCTCTCCACTAGATCACAGTTTACGTCAGCAGGGATCTGGCCTGAATTGCAGCCTTTATTAATGTGCT